TACTAAATAAATAAGTGCAATTTATAATAAATAAAAACAAGGAAACGGATAGGTGCTTAGATAAACACTTTTATTATGCGCTAATTGGTATGTATTATTAAATAAAAAATTACGAAAACATGTAAATAAAACATATATTTTTCATTTCAGAGTCCATTGCAAAAGGAGCTGGTGCTGGGTCTCCAGAACACCAGCTCAGAAAAGCTATGCAGCTGCAAAAAAAAAAATTTTAAAAGAATTTATAAAATAATTTAACATAGAAGGCAATTTTTTAAGTAAAATTATAATTTGGTTTAGAAAAATATGAGTTTTATATTTACTAGCGAAAGAGCAAACCCCTTTGCACCAGCTTTATCGCTGGCACATTTGCAGCAGCATTACCTAACGAAATAGTTGACTCTTTTGCGTCAGATTTATCGCTAAGTAAAATGTGCTGGCGAAATAGTAAACCCTTTTGGATCAGATAAATCGCTAATATCTTTGCTCTAGAACAATCGCTAAGTAAAGTGTTCTAACGAAATCGTCAACCCTCTTGCACTAGGTATTTCGCTAGGTCAACGTAATGAAACGTCGTACCGCTCGGTACGCGGCAATGACATCCCCATGTTAAATTCGTTAGTCTAACGAATTGGTGTTTCCACGTTTTAGGACCAGTACCCATCCTAAAGAGGCAGCAAAATCGTTAACGGTGCACCGGTGGACCCGAACTGGGTGTTGATAGAATTCAATAAAGACGCGTATGTGTGTGTACAAGTATACACGTTGGCTGCCAATATATATACAACCACACGTTTTTTTAATAACATCTGTGATTCTTCACCATTCTTGTTAAATTTTCAAAGTATATCTTATCATGCCATAGAATATTTGTATATTCTCAAAAGGCAATTGCATTAAAATTGTGGTTTAAATTGGTGGGCAATACGAATTGGATTATTCACTTGATTTAAAGCTATGTGGTGGTAGAGGGAAGGTGGCGATAGCTATAAAATTAAAGATACTTGATATATATGTATATACTATTCTAGAAGCTACATGTCAAGTTTGTTGACTCTAGCTCTAAAAACCTTAAAGATTTGCTCAAAAAACACGGTTTAGATTTCTTTCTTTATCGAATGCTTGACAACGAGGCAAGTTATCGATTATTGGAAACAACAACGTGCTGCTCTTTGCGTTGCGGACGGACAGACAGAAAGACATGGCTAGATCGTTTCGGCTATTGACGCTGATTAAGAACATATATATATACATTATGGGGTCAAAGATTCTTCCTTCTGCTTGTTACATAAATTTGCACAAATACATAATACCCTTTTTACCCATGTTCAATGGGTTTAGGGAGAGAAATTTTAGCTGTGGGTCCTCCTAATGCCCGCGCAGATCGAGTTTGTTTCCGATATTCGATAACTTGCCCCGTTTCTAAGTAATCGATAAAAATCGATATCGAAATCCTATTTTTTGGGCAATTTCGGCAAATAATATGAGCTAGAGTCACCAAACTTAATATGTAGCTTCTAGAATAGTATATATATATCAAGTAACTTTCATTTTATACCTATCGCCCGTTGGAAGAAGAATTTTCAGCTATTTTGGCTGTACAAAGTATTGCACACTTGGGAGCCGCAATCATTGCCGTATATTTGCACTTTCGCCAGTGAATATTATCACTTCTATTTTTCACAAGCAAGAAATATCATTTGCCTAAGAATTTATTGAGCAAATTCAATTATTTATCAAAGTCAAATGACACAATTGATTTTTTTTATTTTAAATTATCAAAATGAATATGAGTATGTTTATGGGCAATGTCCATCTTCCTGTCCTTCCAATTATTTGTACGAACGCAATTGTTTTGACACTATTGAAGACACTATTGAAGATATAGTATATTGTTATCAAAGTGGCCAAATTGTTGGGCCATCCCCAACTTCCACATTTTTAATACCAACATCCATAAATTTGGCGTGTTTACTAACTCCTCCTAATTTTGAGTCAACAATACTGCGGCCTTACGCCCTTACAAATTTCTTTAATACACAGTATGCAAAAGATATCAAACAAACAAAAAAAGACTCTTTTCGACTTTTTACAGCTTTTATGACATTGTAATCAGAATAATTAGTAGTCGGTTGCAATGTGGAGATCGGCCTTCATCTCAGGACAAACAGTTTTATATATAGAGGTATATGAAACAATGTCATATTTGTTTGAATGTAGTGGTATTCTGCTGCGATTTGAAAGCTATAGCCATATTGTCTAGATTGATAGATGGTAGGTATTGCTGCTGTACATAAATAATGCTGTACGCTCTAACTTTCTTACAGATTTTAACACGTTATTCAAATTTCATAAATTGACTTAATTTTTCATTCTAACCACGGTTGGACAGTTAAAGTAAAGTTAAAAGTAGTATCATCAGAGAAGAAACAATAAATTTATTAATTTTGATATAACTTATCAAAAGAGAATTTGGCAAGCGATAAGGTATTTCAGCCCCAAAAAAAGGTCTTAAACCATTGTTTACCCCACAAGTTAGTATAAAAGTTGTATTAAGTACCAATGTCAGCGCTATTAAGTATTTTTGTTCATGATAATCGACGCACTGTACCATTAAGCTGTAATCATTATTTTGCAGCTTTTACACTGAGCTGTAATCTGCCCTGTTGAGAAAAAGAGTTGAAGCGGAGCTGATGAGCATTTCCACTGGGAAGGATATGTAGCATATACTGTGAAGCTAGTCTAACAATATATTTATTCGAGCAACGGCGAAGGTGGTTTTCAGTCAATCTTCACAAAATAATTTGGGAAGTATTCACCGAGACTCCTTTTGCCATGTCTCGACCTGCATACACAATTTTATTTTAGGATCCCTTTAGAATCCACTTTTAACAAATTTAAGAGCTATATTCCGAAGAAAAAATCTTAAACATGCACAACTAAACGAGCACTAAAAGTGCCAAAACAATGGTGATAGCTTTCATCATATGCCCATATCACCAAGAAAGAAAAAAAATTAGCAATTCATATTCAACACATAATCAGTAATTATTATTTATTGTAAACAAAAGGAATATTCAATGCCAATATTAGTACAAGTGGCATTCAAAATTTATAATTTAGCAATAATTCATTAAAAAAAACTAAGATTTTCTCCATGGCTGCAGTCGGACACATGCACATAAGCACTAACGTGTCTAAATATACCAATGAGTGGTTTGAGTATATCCTCAAAGCTGTGTTGCAGCAGGGCTGAGAAGATTTTGTTTCCGTAAAGTTATCGAATTCATTATGGAGTCTCTCTTGCAGAGTTGATCAAGCCCGATATGCTGATGTTCTGATGAAATGGCCTCGTCGGTCACTCGCCTTTAATTATATCGGACAAGGATCTACTAAGTTAAGTAGGATCTCAGCCTTAATCAAATTGTTAAAAGTGGATTTACAACATCTAATTAACTGCAACGTTTCATCGGCGAGCCCTGGGCAAGATACCGCGCGCCGGTCATATCGCACGCATCGCTGCCACAGTAGTGGATTGGCTATCAGTAGGATTCGCTTGTGATCCAGCCAAGGATCAGGTGTCATGAGCCGAAACCTGAAAGGTAGTAGAGTTGCAGACTTTGTCCCCAAGTACTGAGTTATTTCGGAGAAATTGGATCCTGCCAAAGCAATTCAAAATCTTCCCGCCACATGCAGCAAGAGTTTTAAGCGACACTTCATCTAACATCATGGAGAGGAGCACCATATTACCACTTGTACTACGCTGGACCACCCTCCACAGCTTCGTAAGGACGTCATTCTAGACATTAATCTGTTTTGAAAATATCCTCTCACGAAGTGCCCGCCTTATATAGGTTGCATAGGTTGCCTTATTCCATTTATACATGATTATAAAGTAAATATAAAGTATATATATTCTTGATCGGCATCAACAGCCGAGTCGATCTGGCCATGTCCGTCTGTCTGTCTGTCCGTCCGTATGTATGAACGCAAGGATCTCAGAACATATAAGAGCTAGATACTTTTTATACCCTAAATCCATAGAAAATGGGTAATCAGGGTATTATGTATTTGTGCAAATGTATGTAACAGGCAGAAGGAAGCATCTCCGACCCCATAAAGTATTTATATTCTTGATCAGCATCAACAGCCGAGTCGATTTGGCAATGTCCATCTGTCTGTCCGTCTGTCCGTCCGTCCGTCCATCCGTCTGTCCGTATGTATGAACGCAAGGATCTCAGAACCTATAATAGCTAGAGACTTGCAATTGCGCAGATCGAGTTTGTTTCCGATAATCGACAACATGCCCCGTTTCGTAAGTAATCGATAAAAATCGATATCGCAATCATGTTATTTGAGCAATTTTGGTTAATAATAAGAGCTAGAGTCACCAAACTTGACATGAAGCTTCGAGAATAGTTTATGTATATATATCAAGTATTTTTCATTTTATAGCTATCGCCACCTCCCCGCTACCACCCTAAAGCTTTAAATGCAATTGTCAATTGTCATAGTAAGATCTACTACTCAAAAGTTCATCAAGATCGGTTAAGAAACTCGAAAAAAAATGTGTTTTGGCCTGCAAACACGTGCAGCAGCAGTATATATGTATACACATTCATGCGCGTCTTCTTTGAATTCTATCAACATCATTGCAATTGTGACTGTATTGTTTTCTATGTTTTTTAATTATTGGTGTGTCTATTGATTAGAGGCGGCAGAAAGTAGCGCGGTCAGTTACGAATTCGTACCCTGCCAAGGGAACTTTTTTTATTAATTTATTTTTATTATTACTAAAGCAAACGAGCGCGTAGAGCGAGCTGCATTTGGTGTATATTAAGAATAAGAGGGATAAGAGGGAAAAAATCTACAAAAAAATACCACACTTGATCCATTTTTTATCCAAAAAAAGTAGGTTATTCTTTGAGCTGGTGTTATTGATAAGTTATAAATATCTAACATTTAAATAATTAATATATTTATTTAAATATGTTTTTTTTCAGTTCAAGGTTTCTTTGACTTGTTTAGACTTCCCTTGCAACAATATAATAAGGATGGAAGAATTATCCGTGGTTTTCAAATGGGCGCACAAAGCTTTAGTGCCCGCACTGCGTTCGCAGCACTTGAGATAACTTCTAGGATAATTCATTTACTACAGGTAAATATTTGGATTAGTTTCATTTTTATAAATTATTACAACACATGAATTTATAAATAACCAAGGTAGCCATTTTTTTGCATGTGGAAAGTACACAAAAATTGTTATTAGCCCGTCACTTTTAGGTTTACTTCCGTTAATTAAGGAACTGTATGCTTCTCGGCACTGATCTTATGATTTTTCTAAATGCGCGTATACTTCAGTAAATTGTTCCTTATACCCTTGAGTCATAAAGTATATATTTATAACTAACATATATAATATAAAAAGCATTAGCCGCAGCGACGTTGTGCGCTGAGCGAGATGCGGCTTCATACTGAGCGTTCGGCTCTCGAGGCCGGCGTTCCGCTGCCACTCTCAGCAGTCTTACGCTCTCTCTCTGGGCAAAACAAAATGGTCGCAAGCACCCATGGGGCTCACTCACCCCAATTTATGGAGTTTCGATTATTTTTCTGACTGCCGTATCTATGTATGGTATGGTTAGTGCGTATACTCATTGAACACTGGTAATAACGGAATAACGGGTTTCTGTAAATGAATGCATCAGGCAGAAGGAAACATCTCCGACTCCATTAAGTATATATAGTCTTGGCCAGAATCAGTCGGTCTAGCCATGCCCGTCTGTCTGTATGTATAAAAACGTAGATCTAAGAATATATAATTATATGTACATATATCTTCTCCGTTTCTAAGCTATCGATAAAAACCGATATTGAAATTCAATTTTTTTACCATAGCTTTTCTGCTTTAAGAGCTGGATTCACATAATTTTAAATCTAGTATACTATAGACAGACCAAGTATTATTCATTTAAGATCTAATGCAGAAAGTTTGGTTGAAAATCACAGAAGTGATTAATGAAAACTTGCCGTTAAACAATTTTGTAAGCTTGTGCACACATATCATTGTTTTTTCTTTTTAATTCTATAAAATAAATTGCAATTGCCCTTGTTTCATATCAAAAAAAAAAATCAAAATGTATGACACCGTGATATTTAGTAAAATAAAAAAATCAAAGTGAAAAAGTTTGCTCAAGATATCTTGAAAATCAAACAAATTTTCATACATCGATCGATCGTTCCTATGGCAGCTATATGATATAGTGGTCCCATTTTGATAGGATTTAGCATATATATGAGGAGCGTAGTAAAACTTATAAATGTCGAGTTTGGTAAAGATATCGTGAAAAACAAAACAATTTTCCATACAACAACTTATTTTTTGATCGATCGTGCTATGGCAGCTATATGATATAGTGGTCCGATGTTGCATTTATATTAGGAGCATAGTAAAACTAATAAATGCCGAGTTTGGTCAAGATATCTTCATAAACAAAAATGTTTTTCATACAACCACCTACTTTTCGACCGATAGATCCTATGGCAGTTATATATATATAGTGGTCCGATTTATCTGGTTTCGATGTATGTACTGCGTGCAACAAAAAGAGGCACTTCAGAAAAGTTTCATAAAGATAGCTTTAAAACTGAGAGACTAGTTCGCATAGAAACTGACAGACGGACATGTCCATATCGACTCGGCTGTTGATACTGATCATGAATATATATACTTTATGGAGTCGGAGATGATACTTTCTATGCGTTACATATTTCACGACAAAATTATAATACCCTCTGCAAAGGTATAAAAAAAACACATGGAATTATTTGTCGCTTTTCCTTTTGCATGTAGTTTCCTATAATCCGGATCTCTAAACAAGCACTAATCAAGATCAAAACAAAGGACCAACTTAATGTAATAATGGTAAAGCAGAAAATGGAAATAAGAGCTCTGAGGGGAATTCCGTTTATTAATTTATTACTCAATGGACCCAAGCGATTGCGTAACATTCCATATTCGAAACTCCTTAGATTTCCAGGAAACAGCGCAAAGCTATTTCCCTTCTAAAGAGAAAATAGGAGAATCAAATTCGTAGGTAGCATTTGCGATGTTGCCTTGATATGATAAATACAACATTGACTTTCCAAAAGTGTGGAATGTATCGCATAAGTGAAGCTCATCCCAAGTTAATTGGCAGAGAAAATCTTATCGCTCGGGTGGTCCAGCTTTGCCGGGTCGAAAATTAAACCAGACAGACTACTTCCACGCAAGATTAATAACAAAACCTAGGAAATGTAATTGAATCAATAACTCAACAACGAGCCATCTCACCACGAACTCTATTAAATGAGCCTTTCGCTAAAACCTTTTGTATTCTAGCTGTTTCAGGAAATATATGTTTAGTAGTATTTGTTCAGTTGAAGTGATATTGATCAGTTGAAGTTGAGGTGATAAGATTTCGAGTTTAAGATCTTAATTCGATTCCGTGGAATTAAAGGATGTTTTTTAAGGCTCTTTCGTTCTTGGAAAATCAAACGCGATGTACTGGGGTAAAAAACACTAACATAAGTGAGGTTTAGGACATCTGATAGCATTTATTTATTATTTAATAATGGTCGACAAAAGGAGTGTCAGCCTTATTATGCAATACATAGGAATAAAAAAATTAAAAGTTAAAATCCTAATTGGAATACGGCCAGCTATGCCCCTATAGATAATTTTGTTAGTGACGTTATTAAAGCTTACAGCTAAGAAGGAAGGTGATTATAGAGAAAATATTATTCTTAAGTAAAAATTAATAATAATTTTAATTTACTATACTATCGTACAATAATTAGGAAAAAAGAAAGGTTAGTAAAAAAGTAAAGAAATGTATACTAATGTTCATGGTGCATTACATCAGTTTTCATTCTAGAAAGGAGAGCATGTTTTACTGATGAAGTAAATTCGAGAAGGTTGGTCGTAGTTTACCGATTCTTTACGAACCTATGTTGTGCAGGGGAGCCAACTTCTTTGCTGAAATGCTGCAAGCCAACGTGATTATATTTTCAAATAATTTAGGGATAGCGGACAGGATAATAAAGCTTTAGCAATAGACAAAGAAGAAAGGCGTTACACTCCTTGAGTAGACAACTAGGAATATTTTCAGAGCCAGAAGATTTCATTAAATTTATAGCAGAAAAAAGAGAGGAATTGGAAATAATGGGAGCAAGTATAGAACTAGAGAAAGCAATATTATAAGGGTCAGAAGAATTACTCTTCAAGTTTACAAAATACTTTCTCAGATTTTGGGCGAATTGCCTTTTTTTGACTTGGCTATGGAGTATTTAGCCAAGTCAATACTCGAACCAGACTTATTAAACTTTTTAAAATATTTAGACTTAATAAACATTAATGGGTAATTTTGATAGTGTGGGAGTTGAACAGGGTGGCTTAGAATAAGCAATCGAAGGGATTGAGTTGGAAGTACATTTTTCTAAGAAGGAATTAAGGGTGTTATAAAAAAAATTAAGAACAATATTCATATGAATCAAGGCACATAAAAAAGACTACGTTGATTAAGCAGGGAATAGTTTCCTTTGCAAAAGCAACGGCGGGGTTTGTTTGTAGTTGCTGAATAAGATATAAGAGGATTGCAATTGAACATTGCAACCTTTAAAGTAGGATGATATACATCCTCAGGAACATATAAAGGAGAGGTCCTGGACACATTAGCAATAAAGTTATATTAAAATTGATTAATATAAGAGATTAATACATAAATTATTACATATTGCAAATTACTACAAACCAGCTACCCTAGAAAACAGTACCCTATTTGTCAAAATCCCTTATGTTCGTTAATGGTGATTTTACGCTGTATATTCGACTTATTGCAGAAGTCGACGAGCTGCTGGATCAAAATCGCCTGGAAAGTAGGCAAACACTAATACCTGAACGCTCTGATGTATCAACTTCAATTTCTGAAGCTACTTAGTACCTGTGAATAAACTTGCTTTCGTTCGTTTATATATGAACTCAGGTTAAAATAATTTTAGTTAAGAGCGATGGTTACAAGGTACCCCACGATTGACAAGCAAAGAATACGATGTAAATGTATTTAAAGTTACAGCCTATCTTATACCTATCGCTATTTTAGATTAGGTTATTCCAAGTCTGCGTTTTATTTTTATTTTTGATTTGTATGGTAGTTACGTTAAGCATTTGAAGTCTATTAGCGTAATTTGCTAAATATAAAGGCCCTAAGGCCGATCCATGTAGTAACTCACGATTCATAAGAAGACGATTGAATGTACATGTATTTAAATTTACAGCTTGTCTTCTACCTTGCCCCATTGCTTTTAGATTTTTTCAAGTATGTCTAGCTTGTAATGCACTTTTAAATTTATTTGGTGGTAGTTACGTTTAGCATTGTAAATAAGGCTCTTCCCTATTTGTCTGCTATTTTAAAATTGCACTGTTTTGTAGCACTTCCATCTTTCAATAGCTTCATTACACTCAAAAATATCCTCTTGCATTCGTTCAACAAACCAGGGATTATCTTTGGTAATAACAATTTAAATTCAAACAGGTAAAAATGTATTATATAAATGGACACTTATTATTTTTAGGTGATTTTAGTTTAGCTTTGACTGGTGGAAAAATATATATTCAGTTTCAATCACATGATTTAAACTCAGTTACATATACTAAGTCATGATAAGAACAATTTATTCAACCAAAAATTAAGCAATGGTTTTGGTAAAGCAGGTGGGGATCGTAGAATTTACAGGATATATGCCTTGTACTTTATTGTAAAGGTCCACTTTTCGTATTATGTTACTTTTAAAGGTGCCATATACTATAAAATCATGGTCGTTTTTAATTTCAATAAGGTCGGTAGTTGGACCTAAGTAAAATTGTTGAGTCGTATATGTATTTATTTAAGAGCTTAAGGACTATTGCTAGTTGGCTGTTTATACACTACTCGAGATTTTTTGATTTACATAAATTGCGATTCGTCCATTGCCGTTAGGATCGGAACGAAAAACATTATCACCATCATAAACAATTTTCAAAGAAAGTTATTTATTAGGCAGATCAAAAGACATACGACCGTTCAATGCAATTTGCGTTATTTGTGATATCATAGTTCTGCTTGTAAACCCCTTAATTGGATG